TTTTGTTACTATTAAAAATCATAAAGATAGGAAAATACAGCCTCATATGGATATTATTATTATAAAAAAAATATAGGATTTTTTAGAGTTTATTTAGAATTTATTTAGAATTTTTTATGAAATTTCAGAGAAAATTTCAAGACTTTGGTAAAATTGAGTTTTACCACCTTGGGAGCCATTATGAAGAAAGGAAGCAATATTTGAAGGTTGTACAAGGTTTCTAGGCTAACTGGATATTTTTGAATACCATAGTGAAGTCAAAAGTACAAAAAAAGTAGTTTTATTAGTAAAAAATAGGAGGACCAATAGCTTATGTAGTCCTTGTAAGAAGAGAGATGCACAATTCTCATATAGGTTGTAGCACCTTGGATGTAGGTAGGAAGATAAGATTAAAGCCTCAAGGCCTCTTTAGGCAATCCATATACACTACTTATGAGTCTTGGTGAGGCTCGAACTCATGATTTCTTAAGCAAGTTACCCTTGAGGTAAAAATTATTCACTTAACTTTTCTATTATTTACATTCTATCTTTAATCTATCATAACTTACTAATAGTAACTTGATATTACATGATTTTTATGTCATTAGAAAGATAAAAAATTATCTATCTAAAATTATACTTTTTACTTTTACTTTTTATTTTTATTAGATGAAAATCAAGTGAACAGATTGTGATTTAGTTTTGGATATTGTAATTACTTGATTTCATTTCTTTCACTTGTATTGTGGTTGTTCTTCTTTGGTTTTTTGCCAATTGCTTACTCCATTTCACACCACCAATTAAAAGTAACTCTTAATTGAGGCCATCTTATAATTTGGGTTGAGAGTGTGAAATTTACACTCTCAATGGATATTATTATAGAAAATCTTAAATTAATTATAATTAAAAAAATATGGTTTTTATTATAATAACATGAAATCCAATCAATTATTGAAGAAATTTGGTTTAAAATTGATTAATTGAACTTGTCGAAATAATACTTTGAAATAATGTCTGTATGTATTTTATTTTTAAAATTTTAATGCATTAAATAAATTAAAATTAAAATCATGAAATTATTAATATATTGATGAAGAAAAAATCAAAATATTTATTTTTGTAAATTTATACTTTATTACTATCAATAAAAAGTTAAATATCTTTTTTACAAAATTTTTAACTTTATAGCATCTTAAATACTGCATTAAATTGAGATAATTCTTAATTTTGTAAAATAACCATAAGATCAACTAAATTATATAAGGTGTATAAAAAATGGCTGCACTTCTTTTTTATTTGATATGTAATTTAAAGTTTTTTATTATTATATCTAATTATGTGATTCAAAGTTTTATATTATTATTAAAAAAATTCACTAAAATACATTTTTTTTCTAGAAAAATCCATAATGAGTCAAGGTTAAAGGATGTTATATAGTTCATTGTACTATGTGAGTTTAAGTAGACTTTTTTTTCAAGTTTTTTTAATTTAATAACACACATATATAATATATTTGTTGGTTTAAAAGAAAGTTGGACTCTTGTATAATTTTTACAAAATCAGATTGTAGAATTTGACACTAGTAGAAGTTTGAAACTTAAGTTATGATTTATTTAAACCATATTGAGTCCTTAAAAAGTATCAAAATAAACTTTGGATAATTCTTATGTGCAAAGAAGATTTTACAGCTTTTTGATTTTTTTTTTTTTTTTTTAGAAACCTTGGTTTATGGTGCTTTCAAAAACAATAACTTCATCAACTCAACTAAAAAATTTGTAGTTACTTTTACTGCAAAAGAAAAAAAAGTGATAGAAAAGAAACTATGCTTCCTCGTATTAACTTTTATGCTCAAACAGTTAATAAAACATATTTTGATTCAGAAGAAGTGCAATTGATTTTTACATTTATTTTCATTTATTTTATATTCTATCTTAGTTTATTTTTACCATTATCTAATATGATTATTTGGGAAGAAGATGATAAAGATAATAAAATAAAATAAAATAAAATAACATGAACATTGCTATAATAGATTTTTGTACATAGTGTAATCATTATTAATATCATTTTGCACCAAATATCATAGATTTATTACCAGATTTTGTTATTCTTGGCTTTCAAATCAATCGTTTTTGGAAAAAGATATATAAATATATATATATATATATATCTTATTTACTCCTTTAGTAGCTTAATGCATTCATTTATATTTGGTGTAATCATACTTTAATAAAAACATCAAAGTTATTAATTAATAAAAGTAATAAAACCTTACACCTATATATTAGCTATCACTTTAGATGATTGTTTGTGTATTAGAATATATCACATCATAAACAAATTCTGTTAATTTATTTTGTGTAGTTTCAGGTACTAATATTACATCTTTTTGTGAAATGATATTTTAATAAAAATCACAACTAGTGTTCGTACAATATGAATTAATAATTATTTTATGATTTCTTTTTTTAATAATATATATCCAGTTAATTTTGCTTTTTGGATCCAATCTACCTGCTTTAAGTAATTTTTTGATATATTTCTTAAATAAGTGTAATAGAATTAAATATCTCTGCTAATGAATAAAGAAATTATTAAATTAATTAAGTTAAGTTCTAAAATTACATTGTTGCAGAGTTGACTTCAAAATTTATTTAACAATTATTTAATTAAATTTGTAGATTTTTCATCACCCAATCAATGTAGTTATTAAATATTTTATATTACAAAAATAATTTTAAATTTTAATAACAATAAAAAATAAGAAAAAGAAATAAAATATAGTTGATTATTGAATTTATATGAGAAACATTACATGTATGTAATTATATATATATATATATATATATGAAGTTTATTTTGTTCAATAAATATCATGTAGACAATTTTGTACATATAGAATTTTAAAAATATAGAATAAAAAAAATTAAAATCTCAAATTAATGACTTGAGTATGTTTTGTTGAATTGTGTAAAACCAATAGTGATGTACCATTTAAAACAAACTGTACAGTTTGTGTGTTATGCAACTAGTTAATATCTTGTCATTTTTTTGCCAAAAGTGGAAAAGTAAGATTTCTTTGTTTTGTTGTGTTTTTCATTGTTGTGTTATTTGATGACTAAAAAGCATCTATGTGGGACATTTAAGGCATTGGTATTCAAATAATGGTTTTTTATTTTGCAGAATACATGTATAGAATTTTCTATTTAATATGGGAAACATATTATATATATACATATATATATATATATATATATATATCTTTTGGAAATGCGATTAATACACTTTCTAATAAAACTTTGAGTGATAAGTCATTAAACTATTTATAGCACACATAATGATTACTAATCAAGAATTTTATACTTCATTATTACATTTGTGTCTACTCTTGATTCCCATTTTACATTCCTCATGTTCATTTACATTCCTTTTAACACATGAACCCATCTACTCAGATTTTCCAACAACAGAACAGTTCCTAATAATTTCTTGTATCACATTACACCTTTTTGCTCTTGTGAAGCCTTTCACTGGTATATACTCACACTAATAATCAAAAGATTTAGAAGCAAATTATGTCATATCAATCTAAAAATAATTACAATCGAATTTGATCATTTAATCCAAACCATCAACAACAAAACTACCATGTACCCACTTATTTATAAATTCAAGCACTACAAGCACCCAAGTGGATACATTCACACACAATCGTGCACACAAAATACAATTACTCATTCAAAATCAAACCCCACTTCCAATTCTCACATAAACCATGAAATTTTTTTAGTGAATTAAAAAAAAAAAAAATTAAAAGCCACCACTCAGTCAGTCAAAAACTTGATAATATCAAATTTAGAATAGTGGTTCGAGTAAGAACTTTTCGACACACTGTCGATGTGGGTTCTACAAACAATCCATTGAAAGACTCGGAGAAAGAGGAAAGGAGAAGGAAGAAAAAGAAGATGATGTTTCTCAAAGCTAACCACCCACAAGGGAGGGGGAAAAAAATAAAAATAAAAAATAAATCCACGTCAGAAACGGACACGAGAGAGTGAGAATACAAAAGCATGGAAACGACATGAAAATAATTGTATAACAAGGAGGAAAGGTCCGCAATTTCGGCGAGTAGTTGGACTTTTGAAGGGGGCGGCGGGGGGAGTCAAGTGGTGGAGGATTGACCGAGCTGGCTTTGGCGGACGTGGGGTCGGAGCGGCCGCAACTGAGATCAATCAGGGGAGCTGAACATTCCTTAAATTGCAATATAACTAAACCCAAAAACAGGGATGTACATAAACATGGTGATATATATATGTATTATTTGTGAAACTGGTGATGAGGGGAACCTTCATTCTATAGTGTTGCGGTGCCCACCGCACCGTTGAATGCAGGACTAAGTCACAACCCATTGTTGTTATTGGTCCTGGTTATTTTTATTTTTATTTTTCTGCAATATTAATTCCCCCTAGGAAGCTGGCAAGCTATGGATTGGAGTATGGAGTTGTGGATAGTTTTTGCCAATTTTGTGACCTAGATACTGTGACAATTACCGCGGGTAATTGACTGTGGAGATTGACCAATGAGGGGAGAAGTAGTATCAAGAGTAATAAGAATAATAACGGTAATAATATGAGAATGAGGTGTGCCTTCCCAAAGCCTGATCTATCGGAGAATAGAACACAGTACCCAATTCAGTGTGGTGTAAGTGCTTGTTTGTTTTGTTGTGTTGTTTTAGTCTTCATGTAATTTAGGGTGATGTTGTTTTTGTTCATTGCTTATTTTAAGGTTTTCCTGCTCATGATCTTTGCAGATCGAGATGCAGTAATAAGTAGAGCAATGACCAGTTGTGCCCCAAGTCGCATTAGAATGTGTGGGCTGGGTGGGAACTATGTCGAGATGCTTGGTAGAACGGAGTAGATCCGCCGCGAGTTCGGGGAAGTGAAGGAGTGGGAAAGGCAAAAGGAGGAATTAAAAAATACAAATAAAAACAGAAGGAAAAAGATAAGAAGAAAATTTAGTAGGAATCGTCCTGTTGAATTTCCCGACGGACTATGCGGAGGAGGTGGAGGGTTTTCCCGTGCGGCTGGAATGTGGCGTTTTTCCAGATTAAGGAGAAAGAGCGGTGAGAAAGAAAACGGGGTGGGGGGATGTGTGGAGTTGTCTGCATTCCCTCACATGGTACCGAATCAAGCCCTAGCAGCCTTCCGTCGCTGACTTCCGCGGCAAGGGGTCTCAAATTTCCACGATTAGGACTTACGGAGACGATGCCTCGCAGTGCAAACATGAAGAAATGTCGCACTTGGGTTGCTCTTGTTCGACCAGCTGTGGGGACAATACGAAACGCACAGAAAAAACGGGCGCATCGCATTTGTCCGTCGAGACAAATCTAGCAAGCAGGCGCGGACATAGAGAGGAAGACGGACAGAGTGAGGGAGAGGTTTGGAGAGATGTGGGGATGGCTATGAATTTGGGCTGGAAGGTGGGTGGGATCACTGGAATTGTGGGATGGGGCCAAAAGTGGGGATTGCAAGTTGGTTGAGTGGCATGAAGGGAAGCTGGTGATGAGTGGCACGAGGAGGGTATGATGTTGGTAAAACAGACAGGGAGAAAAACAGGGGAAAAGAAAAAAGAAGTAAATCAGAAGTGAAGATTTTTCTCACCCAGTGTCGTGCAAAACTTGGAGCCGAATCCGCGCTGGTGGGGCTAAAAATGGAGACCGCTTGCACCGCCGTCGTTTCGTCTTTTCTCGATTTTTGGTTTATGCCATCCCCACCAGCCAGTAAACCGGTTCATCGATGCTAGCTTTTGTCGGCATGTCTTTTCTTTTACCGATTTTTTAGCTCTGGGAGTTGTGTGTGATGGTGGTTTGCGAGGCCAGGTCTTGCTTTTGGAGGTTTGATCGTTGGCAACTTGCGTTCTGAGGATGCTCTGGGATGGAGGGAGGGGTGCAGTTGATGTCGTGGATGTCTGCACAGACGGAACTGTTGAAACGAGGACGTTGTTGCTTCTGTCTGGGTTTTACTGGGGTTGGCACAGTGCGTTGATTGGTGTAGGTCAGTTGTTGTGCAGGTCGACTTAGGTGATAGCTGTTGAAGAGTGGATATGGCGGAGGCTGCAAGGGTGGAGGTATGTTGGCAGGGATGTTGATAGCTTCATTTTCTCCTGCTTAGGAGGGTGTCAGAGCACGACCTTGTTCGAGCAAAGAGTACGTGGGAATGATTTATTGCGACTAGGTCGACGAGGTGTGGATTACATTCATGCAGATCTGATATTTGACAGCGAAGAAGGTTGTGTGAGGGTTTCGAAACGGACGGTCACAAAGAAATCTCGAAAAGATGCGAAAAGTAATGACCAAATAGGTTGCACAGTATTGTCGACATTTTGGCAGCCAATTCTCAGAACCTGTCTAGATTATCTAGCGCCTCAGCAATTTTGGAGGTGTACTCAGTCTACTGCAAGAATTCAGATCGGCTGTCTTGAAAGAGGTACAAAAGCTATCGCAAATGTGAGTCTGGTGCTTACACTGAATGGGAGCGAGGTATGGACTTATTCAAGACTGGGAATTTGCTGTATCCTGGGATGGAGCTCCAGACGTTTTTCATGCTCGTAGAAGCTCTTCAGAGCACGACCCCACCTCAGTTCGTGTGTGTCGTATAAGGATTTTTTTCTTCATATTTTTAGTTTTAAAATATTTTTCACTGTATTAAAGGATCATTCTCTTGACTCATTCGGGATGTGCAACGCACTTGCTTACTAAATACTTTGGGAAGAAGAAGGATTAGGGTGTGCTAATTTATAATTAGTGCGAAATGGGTTGTAAGGTGCCGTTTCTGTTACTGTTGGGGCTTTCGGCGTTAGTTTTTCGTGTCGCCTCACAGAAGCCTCCATCAGAGGGGACACCATCAACACCGCCATCAGCACCAGGAAATTTAGACTTCAGACCGTCATCCTCAGCACAAAATTCTTCAGGTTTTAACTATTGGTCAGCGACTGAGAGTTTAACCGTCCTTGTGTCTTCGAATGAAAAATTTTCCCTCAATCTCGAAAAATCCAATTATTCAGTCTCTTCATGTGTGGCTAAGGTGTTGCATATTCCCTCCAATGTACCAATTTGGATTGCCAACTTCGCTAGCAACTCCTCTCTGCCGAGAGACGATGAAGTCGACCTAAATGAGGTATGCCTCCGATACCTCATCTCTTGCTTTCCAGTTTTGAAATGAAGAATCACGTTTTGAATGACAAATAAGGCTAATTTTTTAACTGCACTCGCTTCCTTCTACTCTGTCCTTTCATGAAAGGGGTAGGAAGTTTAAAGCTGATCGGTTCGTGTTTTAGAGTTGTACAATAGGAAGCTTTGTGAATTTTGATCTCATTGTAGAAGACCTAGTGCGCTGAAAGAGAGGACCTTCTGGACTGATGCAGGCTTTTATACATGTACTGATTTTAGAATCTCTGTGATGTGATGGAGTTAATCAGAATTGTCGCTTGAATTTCTCAAAGGATGGCTTGGAGCTCAGTAATCAATCCGACATTGTTTGGAGTGTTCGACCAAAACCAGAGGATACGGCCACTTTGGGGCTTACTGACTTTGGAAACCTCGAGATAAGAAATTCCTTATCCAACGTACTGTGGTGTAGCTTCGACTTTCCATCTGATATCCTTGTAGCATATCAGACCGTCAATGTCACAGGTTATCCGTTGGCATTGACTGCAGCGGATCCAATTCGGAACTACTCCATTGGAAGCTTCTTCTCCATGCTAGTGGAACGTCAAAATGTGACGCTAACTCAACACTTCAAAATCAACTGTTTAAATGAACCGAGAATATACAATTTTTCGTATTATGATGTGACCAACGACACAGAGATACGCAGTATTGGTTTGTCCTTGAACAAAGGTCTTTTCATTAACGACAATAAAACAATAAGTGATCAGCCTTCCCCACAATCGTCATCCTGGCAGTATGCAAGGCTGCACCAGACAGGAGCTTTGGTGATTTCAAGTTATGACGAAAACGGGACCGAAATCGGGAACAGAACGATTAATCCAAATAGAGCTTGCTTACTTCCTGGGCAATGTGGACCTTATGGGTTGTGCCACTCGGGGAATAACTCATGCAGCTGTCCTCCAGGTTTTGTGGCATCATCGTCCCCTTACTTCACCTGTAAACGCAAGGTGGACATTGATTCTACGTGTAAGAATGATACGTTCATCAGTGTCACCGGGATGACTTATTTGGGTATCGGCTTATTTGGGTGTCCGAATTCAACTCTTGCGCAGTGCAAGCTGAACTGCTCCAATGACTGCAAGTGCACGAATGCCCTTCATGTGAAAAGCTCGCTGTCTGACTCTGGAACGTGCTATTTGATGCCCGGCGAAGCTGTGCAAACGATTCGAAAGACGGGGAATGATACTATTGACCTTCAGACCTTGTTCTTGAGAATTGTGAACGGGTCTGACGCGCAAGTCGTGAGTCCTGAGAGTGGGAAAAAATCCACCCGGAAGACTGCTGATGCTTTCGCAGGCGGGGCTGGTGCTTTCATTTTTCTTCTCCTTGTAGGGTCAATGTGGTGGTTATTCTACAACCGCCGGAAGTTGTTCAGTGATGCCGACAACAATGCTGGGAAAAATCTGCTGGTAGGTGATGTTCCATACTCTAAATCCTTACAACGATTCTCCTACCAGGAGATGGTGGAAAGCACAGGCAACTTCACCCAGAAGCTTGGGTCTGCTGGCTTTAGCAGTGTCTACCGGGGCCACCTGCCCGACAACACCAAGGTCGCAGTCAAGAAGCTGGAGGACATAGATTTCAAAGAGAAGGAGTTTCTGGCAGCTGTAGCGGCTATTGGACGCATTTCTCAGCATCCGAATCTTGTGCCACTACGGGGATATTGCAAGGACGGTCAGCACCAAATGCTAGTATATGAGCTTGTGACCGAAGGTCAATCCCTGAATAAGTACCTTTTTAACGTGACGAACTCGGTACATATGTTGACCGTTCAGGATCGCCACCTGATTGCGTTAGGGGCCGCTCGTGGTGTCGCCCACTTGCACCAAGAGTACAATTCCTGCAAAACCATTCATGGTGCCCTGACACCGGAGAACATCATTGTTGATAGGCATAAGAGTCCTCGATTGGTGGATTATGGTCTCGTAGGTTTGATGGGCCGAGACCAAAGACTACGTGCGGCCAACATGCGTAACTCTCAAGGTTACATGGCGCCGGAGTGGGTGAAACTCATGCCCATCACAGAGAAGGTGGACGTTTACAGTCTAGGCATCGTGATCCTGGAGCTTGTTAGTGGGCGTCGGTGCATTAAGCAGGGTGCCAGTGCAGAGCAGTGCTTCTTACCCACGTGGGGGTTTTCTCTAATTAGTCGTAAGTACGGCGATGACGGTCAGGAAGCTGTGCTAGAGCTTGTAGACCCTTCTATTGGAGTAAGAGACTTGTCGAGTACTTATAAGGGGATGCTTAGGAACATGATTTTTGTGGCTCTACGGTGCGTGCAAGAGGACGTCAATGCCCGGCCTTCGATGCAGGAAGTGGTGAAGATGCTGGAAGGGCCCTCTCCCGTGGAGACGCCCCCTCCTTCCCCAGGTCTGGAAGCTTTCGGAAGAGAACTCTATGCTGGTTGTGCAGGGGCGAGAGGTCCAGAGAGCTCCAACAGCTCCTCTTTCATGCACTCTACCTCTTTAACGAGGAGTTCAGACAAGCGGCCAAGGTGATGATCCTTCCCAGCAGACTGGATTGATTAACTGACTGTTAAGCTTTCAGGACTGACTGCACACCATCGCCCTCATCGATGTATGGGGCTTCAACTCAAGCACATGATCCCGAGGCCTCGAAATGTAGATGCGTCTGTCTGGTGAGACCGACTCCTGATCGTGTATTGATCATCTTATGTGCCTGAGTCTTGCAGCCCAATCCGAAATCCAAGAATGGCACCCTCACCGCCACCAGCGAATAGTTCTGTCGCTAAGGATGGTTCCACTTTCGAGACGTCTGATTGATAACTGTGTAGCTACAGTTTGCAAGCCTCTGACCATCTTCTAAGAGCCTTACCTTTGAGGACTTCCGCTTTTTGTATGCTGAATCTGACTGCATTTCGACGCGGGGTACTTGTATCCGCGAAAACTAGCCAGTTGTCCATCAATATTGGTTGATAGCTTTAGTTGTAGCTTCGAGTTGTAGCAAATGTGAGTGAAAATTTGCAAGTCTGTGTGCCATTTGATGCATCGATACTAGATAGGGTACCTCATGAATATCCACAATTTAGTGCCGTAACTGTTCCGGATCCGTGCATTGTGACATCCTTGACCTACAGCCTCTCCCTCCCCCTCCTCTCTCTCCTTGACCACATGCTGTTGCGAATTATTATGTTTGCAAGCTCCTTCACTGCTTTTAACTGTTAAGAATCTGAGAAATTTGCTAGTAGAAATGCAATCACGGCATCAAGTACTGTTGTTGTGATGATCTTTCTTTTGCATTCAAGCGAGTGAACGAGAGGAGCATGCAGCTAAATTGCTTTTGAAGGATTTGAGAATTGGATGCGCTTGTGGGTGTATCACTTACGGACTTGTTTGTTGCTTCTGTATACACTAGTTACAAAGATCTTGTAGAAATTGCCTAAAAACTATGAGGTTGTTGATATAAGTATTAAATTGTAAATGCACTTTTTTAAAAGTAGGCAATATGTACCATCATTTTAACCAGCTACATGGCGTATTTGTAGAAATGAAAAAATCTAAATTTATGATTGAAAAACTTTTTGAAGATTTACTAGGAAAATATTATTTATCTAGTATATTTTTTTGAACTCCAACTTATTGTTGTTTATTTGACTGATATAAACATCTATTATAAGTACAACTTGTATTTTGATACATATTCTGATACAGGCCTATTTGTAACAAAAAATATATTCAATGTTTTGTGAGTATTATTTAATTGATGGTTTTAAAACAAATAACTATATAAGTATATAAATTTATGTAAATTACTTAATTTGATGTAATTTTAATAAAAGAAATAAAAATAAAAATACTGATGAATCTAATTTTTTAAATAAATGAAAATAGCACAAATAATTTTGAAACCACACAGATTATCTATCTTATGTACGTTTTAATAAATGATTTTTAAAATTTTTTTTTGTTCTCTTTTCATTTTTTAAAAAATTAATACCTCTTTTATGTATTAGTTTTCTTTATTTATTATTTCTTTACAAAATACATTGATTTTCACTAACAAATATTTTAATAATTATAAATATTTGTAAGTTTTTTATTTTTTAAAAAGTTTTTCCTATATTTCAAAAAATTTTAAAAATAAAATATGAATAATTGATTTTATTACAAATAGTTGGATTAAAATTATTACTGAATACACCATATTTTTTTTTATTAATAATTATAAAAAAATATATTTCTTACTATAAGCCATATTGTATTTTGCTTCTTTCAATTATTAAGCAAAATGAAGTTTACACTGAGTTATTTAATCTTTTTGACTTTTGACTTTTGCTTCTTTTGATATTCTTGACTTATGACACTTTTATTACAAAATTAGAATAGACTTTAAATTCTTGTCTCTATTTTGAAGGTACTAATAAATGTGAAATGATTATTTTATTATTTATTTTTATTTTTATTATTTTATTAGTTTTTATATATTTCTCAATTTTTACAATAGATATTTATTTTTGTAGTTTTTATTTTTATTTTTATTTTAAAGATAAGGTAATATTGATTTATTGATGTAAATACTGTAAGTATTGAAAAAGAACTTAAATACTCTTTAATAATTGTTATATTTGTGAAAATAAGTGTTTTAAGAATTTTTATAATTTTTGAGCAATTCAATTGCAATTCCTATTATAATGATAATATTTCTAATTAATTTGCATTAAAATTTGACAAATATGGATTTTGTAGCATTAATTGAAACACAATATTCAAACATTTTTACAACATATTTTAGGATAAGTAGTATGATTTATTCTTTTAATTAATACAAAAGGCTATTTAAAAACATCATTATGAATTTTCAATGATATTGTTAATAAGTTGTAATTAAGGCCGTTTAAAATGTTATAGGAGCATTTTATAAGTCAAAAGACATACCCTTAACAATAGGTGTCTCTCAGTCTATTGTGAATGTAATCAACAATCTATATTTGAGTGCAATTTGGACTTGACTTTATATTAAAAAACTATCCAAAAATGAATTACATTTACATCTAATTGTTGTGTTAAAATTAATATTTCTAAATAAAAACAATAAAATAATAATAAAATATTCTTATGATAATTTATCATTTTTAATATTATTGTTAATAAAAATTTATAATATTAAATTCTTTAGAAAATTCTAAATTTAGAATTATATACATTAATTTTAAAAGATGAAATAAAATTAATAAGTTATTGGATTTAGAAAGAATTAGCAATTTAGGGCATTTTAAGGCACATGTTTGATATATTTAAAAAACAAAAATATCATTAAAAGATATGATATTGAGTTTTGAAGCAAAAGAATATTTGGGAATACTTAAAAATATGTCCAACAAGAATAATGGTGTATTTATGAATACATCTTCGAATTTTATTAACTTATATGAAAAAATACTTATTAGTGAAAAAATATAAAATATAAAGAAGGGAAAATGAAAAAAAGACTTTATAAACTTTAAGAATCAATTAAAAAAACAACAAAAGATTCAAAATTTTGAAATATATGGAACAATGAAAAGATATGATTCTAAAGAAAGATAAAGCGATTTAATAAATAATAGAAGTATTAGATATTTTCTAAAATAGGTAAAAATTATACTAATTTATTTTGATTTTAAATTTATTAATAATGTATATTTTCATCATTTCTATAGATAAGATTAAATGAAAGAAGAATATAAAATAAAATATCTTATAAATAATAATATTAATAAATTAATTTAATTTATATCTAAATATACAAGTATTTGTTTGAAGTAGATATTTTGTATAAAAAAAATACATTGAATGTAATTACATACACCATGAGTAGTCTCATAGGAAAAATATATGATTAATTTGATTACACTTGAATATTTTAAAAATATTTTAGAACAAAAATAGTTTATTATAAGGATAGAATTAGTCATAGTAGTTTGATTATTGTATGATCAAGTCAAACTTGTGATTGATGTCCTTTTTACAAAAGTAGTAATTATATATTGGCCAAAATCAAAGTAATTTTAATAACTTAAAAAAAAAATTCTAATTAATATAAGTTCATTTTAAACCTTCTTCTAGCTCAAAAGATTTTAAATAAGTTCAAATCTATTCAAATAGAAATTGAAAAATAGGCACTAAAAAGCCACCAAAGATGAGTACAAGAAAAAAATGCCAACTAAGGTTAAAGGCCTACTTTGCTCTATTATTTAAGGTCCATCAAAGAAAACACTAGTTTTCACACTTAAGTTTTAAAATTTTCGAATAGATATTTTAATTATTCAAATACGACATATGCTACAAAAAAATTTAAAAATATAAAAAACAAGAGAATCATAAGTAATAATTCTAACTTGAGTTTTAAGCTTGCTTTTGTTTTACAACTTAGATTGAGTAACTTTTGTTGGACAAAATACCAAAATGTGCATTTAAAATTTAGAAAATTTATAACTAATTTATTCAAATATTTAATTATTTTTTTAAAAATAAAATAGATGTTATTAAAATAATATTATAAATTTAATAAATATACATCAATATCTTAAATATACTAAGTGTTAAATTATTTTTTAGAATAAGTACTTAAAATCTAAGAATTTTTTAATTAAAATTTTATTTAATTAGTTCTCATATTAATGACATATTTAATATCTTAAATATATATATTTTTAAAATAATAATATAAAATAATAATATAAAATATTTTAGTTAAATTGATTCTAAAACTTATCATTCAATTATAAAGAATTTATAAATCTTCTAAAGCTTGATTTTTGTTGAAAAATTATTAATAAATTAAATTAAAAAATCTTATAATATTTTAGAAAAAGAATAAAAAATAAATAAAAATAAAAAATAGAGAGAGAGAATAATAAGAACATAATGACTTTTAAAAATTATCCCTTTTAATCACAATTTCATTGAATTGGCCTATTTTATATTCAATAATTTTAATTTTTCTATTCTTTATTTTAAATTTTTTCTATTAATTACTTATTCTAATCTATCTAATTCTAATCATATAAAAAACGTATTATATTCATTGCTCATTCTTAAAGGATTTTTTTTTAATGAATATGATATTTTATTATGAATAGAAGTTGTTTGTTGCATTGTTATGATAAGTTTTAAATGTTCATTTGTAATAGATTAAATCTTAGATAATCACTAGTAACCATAACATAATAGGTAATTAGTTGTTACCTTGTATTCAACAAACTAAAAATTCAAATAGCTCCTTGCACCAAAATATTTTTAAAAATTCTAAACTTAGAATTCTTGTCAAATTATCAAAAAGGATTTTTTTTTTTGTTTTTTTTTGTTTTATTTTTTAAATTAAAAAAACTCCATAAATTTAACTCTACACCTTCTTATCAATATTTGAAGGACTTTTCACAATTAGGTGCCTATTACTAAATTGCTCACAAAATCTCATGCAATTATTCAAAATCTATTTCTATAAAAACTTGAGATGACAAGCATGAAGTAAAAATGTCAAAGTGTGAATTGAGTATTCTATCAATGTTGTGCTATAGCTTTTTAAAAAGAATTGGGAGAAAAACTTATAACCTCTTTTGGTGAATATATTTGAATGACTCGGGCTATGAAGTGAGTTTTATGGCCTTTGCTAATTGTTGGAAAAAAATATTTTAGAAGGTTAAGCCTAATATCCTATTTTCAAGTGATTTAATAGTAATACCAATTTAAAGTTTTCAATGATATAGAAATAGCCAAATAAGATTACTTATAGTTGTATAATAAAGATGTATAGATATACAAATAAGCTTAGAAATGCATTGATTTATTTTTAGGAGATAAAGAGATTGGATATCATGTTAGTATCATCAAATCTTAACTCTCATATTAGTCTTGTATTAAAAGACATCATCTATGTCTTAGCAAATATAAAGAATTTTTAATATAAACCTAATTCACAAGTATTAAATACAGTTGTGAGGTGATATGATAAAGCTTAATATATAAAGAAGCTGGTTCAAGTTCCTAACTTCTTAAGAAAAATTGGTTGAATTGAAGATACAAAAAATTATCTCTTATTGCTACATTTTTGTTTGAAATATAATATACAAAAGAAAATAAAATCTCTAAGAGCTACTTAAAGAGATTTATTGGATTTTAGAATTCCTTCCAAGGTTAGAATGATTGTTGAAATAGGTAATGACTTATCTATCTTTGTAGCATCTACAGAAGTTTTTTTGAATTTGAACATAATATTGCTAAACTTATATAGGATTAATTTGAATCAAGAAAGTTTTGT